TTATTACATATATTACAAACTTTATATTAGGGTTTTTTATATATAAAAACTTTATAAAGGTAAAAATCCTGGGTGACCAGGGGTCAGTGTATTAAACTGCCCAATATAAGAGTAATTTAATGATTTTAAAATTTGCAGAAATCAACAACCACAACAAATGTTAGGTTTTAATTAAGTTATTACTTTGTGGTTTTTACTTGATATTTGCCACACTAAAACTTTATTACATATATTATAAACTTTATAAAGTTTTATATATATATATATATAAAAAAATATGGGTGGCCAGGGGTCGGTGAATTAAACTGCCCAGTAAGAGTAATTTAATGGTTTTAAATGTGCAGAAATTACCCATTAGGTAACTAACTAATTTTAGAACAGTCTTTTTTTTTTTTTGTAACCCCATTAACCAAAAAAGCCATAAGTGCTGGTTAGTCTATGAAAGACCATTTTTATACTGTAAACATGATAACATAAATGCATTACCATTTCATCTTCTGATGCAAATATCCTATATTCTTCACATTCAAGACAACAAATTCACGATAACCCATCATAAATTCAAGGATGGTGCTCTTGCATAGAACTGAATGCAGTGGTTGGGGATTCAGAGTTTCAATCAGCTGGTGAGACGAGGCAAATTCACCACTTCATTGGGTTTTAAATTGTTTTCACTGTCAAGCTGCTGCTTGCTTAATCACAAACCTATGGGGCTAATATGGAGTTTGAGGTATGAATCAGCAGTCACAAGGGAAAATATGATTGAACAAATCTCAAAATGTTTTGTGAATTAATCTAATCTACCAATTATTAATCCTGTTCAAAAGATCACATACTTTCACATATAATTTTGTATGTTGCCTCCCTGAGCATCAAAATGTCTCTGTTCTTTGGTTTCCCAGCATGCTCTGCACATTTGAGTTCCTCCCCACACTGTCTTGATGCTGACATTCAACTTTTCTGATGGACTCAAACACAACTATCACAAGTGGTTACTGATATTTAAGGAGGCAACATGCAATATTAATAAAACAAGGATATGTAAAACATAGAAACAAGATATCTCAGAGTATACACACACACACACACACACACACACACACAAATATCTTGTTTCTATGTTATTATTATTAGTAGTAGTAGTAGTAGTTGTGGTGAGAGGGGCAGGGCCGAGAGCCGTGGGAACGGAGCTATTATTTTAATAATAAAATAAACACAAAAGAGTGCGACAGCCCCTCGCGGACGACTGTCGCGCACAAACAGAACCAAAACACAAAATAAAGTCCAGGCCTGGTCCTCTCTCCTCCAACACTGTCATCACTCTCTCCGCCCCACCTCGTCTTCCAACGTTCCAGCACCACCGCCTCGGGCAGCCACCGGCAGTCTCTCCACTTGTTCCTGCTGCCCGATCTCCTCAGCACCGCGATCCCCCTCAGCAGCGAGGACTCTCTGACAGCGTGTCCCTCCTTCCTCCCAGGTTTCGGCACCAATGTAACAAAGTTCGTAGATTGGGAAGAAGGAGGCAGGAACCAGCGAACATTTAAATGTAACTTTAATAATAAAATAAACACAAAACTGAAAATAGCGCGACAGCCCCTCATGGATGACTGCCACACACAAAGAAAACCAAAACAACATAAAATCCAGGCCTGGGGCCCGTTCTTCGTACATCGCTAACTCAGTTAGCTGGATTTGATTGTTGACGATTTGGCATGATCTTGGATCATTTGGTTCTTCGAAGCTCACGCTCCGTTCCCACGGCTCTCGGCCCTGCCCCTCTCGTCACAGTAGTATTATTATTATTACTTTATTTCAGCTTTATTTCATGTTTTTAAATAATAGTTTTAGTTTTTACAACAAAACTGCACTGGACTGGACTAAACTAGACCAGACCAGCTTAGATGACTAGAATCAAACAAAGTTCAGTAGACTAGAATAAAACAGTGTAGTGTACTAAACCAGCTTTTATATATAGTTCAGTCATGAAACTCTAGATGGCGCATTCTGATGGGGTGTTAACGTAACTGATGATATTCAGAGAGATAAACGACTTGACACAAGCTGATTGGTTCATGCTGCATATGCAGCCAATGAGCTTATTGCCTTGCATTTATATGGCTGGCTAGCGTTCACTTGAGATTCCTGCAGCGCGCTTTCAGAGTTCTCTGAACCCCTCCACCTTCCCCAGCTCCACCTGTATAGATCTGCTACGGGGTTATTTTATATGCTATTTGTGCAGCAGCAGTATGTCTTAAATACTCATGGCACCGTATCGCCATATGCATTGGCAGTAGCAAGTTCCTGTACTTGCTTGCAGCAGCAGCAATAATCTACAACTACAGCAATAACCAACAGCAGCAGCAATTCAGCAGCAGGGTAGCAGATCTGTTCCGCCAAGAGCAAATACATTAACATTGTCATATCCATCACCATGCTAAAATGTTTCGAGAGTTGTCATGATTTAAATACATTTTATTTAGTTCTTTGTAAGAGAAACAAACAACAGGTGGTTTGAGCGCTTGTGATTAGAGAGATTGATTCAGGGAGTCGATGAACACAAGTGAATATATAATATAATTACACATTTCTAGGGAAATAATACTTTTCGAACAGTTCAGACTGGCAATTGAATTTATGCAGCTAAGTAATTGTGTACGTCATGACTCTCTAGTGTACGACTGATAAGATCACATCCCAATCACAGAATATAATACAGCAGACGCAAGTCAATCCCTCATGTGTCATCTTCTGACATCACGCCCACAGTCTCCAAACCACCACTCATGACTTTGAGCTGTCAATCAATTACTGCAATAAGACAGCATCCGCAGGATGAATAGTACGTGTGTAATAAGCTCGCTGTGGCTAACAAGTGGACAGAAGTGCAGTCAGGAAAATAGGACAGAGTGATTTAAAGTAGAAGAGAAATAAAGCATGAATCTATTTCAAAAGGTTACATCATGTCACACACAAACTTGAACGCCCACATCTCTTCTCTTCCTGCTGGTTAGTCTGACCGTGGACGTGGAAACAGCACTTGTGATGTTAGCAAGCAGTGCAATGCGTGTCATTAGAGCAACTAATGGACAGCGTGTATGCTGACGGCGATATAAAGAGCCCACACTGAGACTCTTTGATCTTCACAACAAAATAGCTATTGAATTCAGAGTTTATATGCTCTGAAAGAGAGCTCATGGAAAATAAATGAGACTAGATTAGACTAAGACTGAAACAGAACAGAGAGCACTAGACAAGACCAGAATATGAGTAGACCAGATCATAATAGAGTTTCTTTCGGGTTTGTAATGAAATTTTTGTTTTAAGTATTTCTATTTAGCTACAATTTATTTTTATTTAGTTTTTAGCAATTTTAGTACTTTAATTTTATTTCAGTTAGTTGCCAAAGCAACATTCAATTTTTTTTCATCTAATATTTATGTTTCATTTTATTTAAGCTTTATGTCAATTAATAATAACCAATTAAATAATAACCTAATCTTAGTTAACTAAAACAGATTAGATGACTAGAAAAGTTATGTACACTAGACTAGAGAATAAACAGTGTGGTGTACTAAAATAGAATAGAAGAAAGTTAAGTTGACTAGACTATACTGGAACAAACAGAGTAGACTAAACCAGACCAGATTAGATCATTAGTATACTAGAAAAAAAACTAGAATAAAACAGTGCAGTATAGTAGAATAGAACAGGTCAGACTAGGCCAGATTAAATGAGATGATACAATTGAATAAATACACTAGAGTAGACTACACTAGAATAGGCTAAACAGATGGGAGCAGAACAGCGAACACTAGAATAGAATAGAATAGAATAGAATAGAATAGAATAGAATAGGGGTGTGGAGTAGACTAGATTAGATACGCTCCTTCATAGAATAGAATAAAATAGAATAGAATAGAATAGTAGACTAGAGTAGATATGATCCTTCATAGAATAGAATCGTAAAACTAATTAGATTAGAGATAAACTAAAATAAACTGAATAGAAAGAATGGAATAGTGGAGTGGAATAGACTATATTAGATATGATCCTTCATAGAATAGAATAGAATAGAATAGAATAGTGGAGTGAAGTAGACTAGAGTAGATATGATGATTCATAGAATAGAATAGAATAGAATAGAATAGAAAAACTAAGTAGATTAGAGATAAACTAGACTAGAACATAACAGAGTATAATAAACTAATAAACTGGACTACTAAACCTGTCTAGATTCGACAACTAGAATAAAACAAAGCTCAGTAGACAAGACTAGAACAGATTACAATAAAATTAAATAAAGTAATAAAGTTAAGCAGAATAGAATAGAATAGTGGAGTAGACTAGATTAGATATGATACTTCAAAGAATAGAATAGAATAGAATAGAATAGAATAGAATAGAATAGTAGACTAGATTAGATATCATCCTTCACAGAGCAGAACATAACAGAATAGAACAAAATAGAATAGTATAGTATATAATAGTAAAATTTAGTAGATTAGAGATAAACTAGACTAGAACATAACAGAGTACACTAAACTGGACTAGAATAAATCTGGCCAGATTAGACAACTAGAATAAAACAAAGCTCAGTAAACTAGACTAGAACAGATTACAATAAAATTAAACAGAGAATAGAATAGAATAGAATAGAATAGAATAGAATAGAATAGGATAGGATAGGATAGGACAGAACAAAATAGAGGAGTAGATAATCCTTCATAGAGTAGATAGACTAGAGTAGAAAATAACAGAGTAACCTGAACTAGACTAGACCAGACTACAGACTATTTAGCTAGAATAAAACAAAGCTCAGTAGACTAGACTAGAACAGATTAGAAGAAAAATAAGCAGTGTAATAAAGTACAGCAGATAACAAGAATAGATTACAACAGAATAGAATATGTTCAACAGAATGAACAGTAGACTAGAGTAGACAGACTAGATTAGATTGGGTTTTTAATGTGTTCTGGAGCAGGGCTGGATGTGTGACTCACTTTGAGTGAAGCGGGGCAGGTTGTCATTGACGTCACTGAGGTGCACAGTGAGAGTGGTGGTCCCTGTCAGACCCCCTTGATGGCCACCCATGTCTCTTGCCTGGATCACCACCTGGTACTGCGCCTGAGCTTCCCTGTCCATATCAGGCACCGCTGTGTGCACGATACCTGCCGAGAGAGACAGAGACAGGAACAGATCACTCAGAGCAAACATCACTTTGCTTTGGCAATATTGAGCAACTTTCATGCCAGTAAGGTAATTAGGTAAAACTGGAGTGAATTAAAAGGAATCACATTGAACATCCTACACCTCACACTGTTGTCCTGCCCTGAGTTTCATTCACAGAAACTTTAGCAGAATACAAATCTGACTGCTTCTGATAGGTCAGACAGATATTACAGTAGATGGAACTCTCACTTGTTCTTACATGCCAGTGAATATTGTACATTTATTGTACATATGCCTTGCAAAATATAAATCTTTGGTTTTCTGTGATTCTACACCGTTGTTGCTGATCCTGCCAGTGATTTGTGACCAAGATAATTTTATCTAGCTAGGGAACATAGATGAATTTGCAAAAACGACATATTGAGTCAGAATATGCTGAAAAACACAAACCAATCAAAAATATTTTGCCTATGTCATCATTTTACAGCAAAAGTGTGTTTATGAATCTGTGGGGATAAGGATGAAGTTTGTTTGGTAAGTTTTGTTAAAGGTTTTTATAATTTTTTTTATGTTTTTGTCTCACCAAGGCTGTGTTCATTTGATCCAAAAAAGAAAGGAAAATATAAAAACATTAAAAACAGTAATATTGTGAAATATTATATATACAGTGGGTACGGAAAGTATTCAGACCCCCTTAAATTTTTCACTCTTTGTTATATTGCCGCCATTTTTTATTTATTTTTTTAAAATTTAAATGTAATTTATTCCTGCCATCACAAAGCTGAATCTTCAGGATTCTTTGATGAATAGAAATCAAATTGAAAAATTTAAATCTTTTGTAACATTAACAGTTTATTTACTCTCTCTTTTGATCAAATTAATGCATTCTATTTAAATAAAAGTATAAATTAGTATTGGTATTAAAAAGTATTATTAACACTTTTGAATGGTAGCGTATAGTGTAGTGTGTGTGTGCGTGTGTATACACACATTTAAAATATACTCACACACATTTAAAACAAATACATATTAAGCATATTTTTTGTAAAGAAAACAACATTTTGTTGGACAAAATATTTCATAAAAAACTCAATATTTACTATTTCTAGCACATTTAAAAATATTTAAAATGGATCATACTTTTGTGCTGAAACCTTGAAAAAACAGAACAGAATCTAGTCAATATATTAATGATCTTGAAAATATAATAAATTAAATATTAAATAATACTGTAGAATTCAGTAAACTTCCACTTGCTAGTCATATAGAATGTAGAAAATGATACAAAATACAAAAGAAAACTTTATCCGTTTTCATTATTTAGTAAATAGAATATAGTTAATTGTATTGAATAGTAACTATAGTCATTCAAAAAACAATAGAATGTAGTCAACAGAAGTGATTAAAAAATGTTCAAGGAATAAACATTTATAAAAACTTATGCAGAATGCAATAGGAAACCAAATTCCTTTTGATTGTTTTAGAGTGAAAACATTATGTTTTTAGGTTTCATGATCATTTTTGATGATTTAAAATCAGGATGACTTTTCAGAATTACACCACTTCCTGTTGCCCGGGTCCTTTCATATCGCAGAGGGCTCTTTTAAACTCACTTGACCGCTGCAATGACCGTACCAGATTCTGCAGCAACAAGACTGACCTGTTGTGAGTTCTTTTTTCAAACATCACTCAGCCTTATTCTTGCACTACGACAGATACGTTATGAGCTGAGTGCATGTGTCTAATTATTCTGCTGGACCACAGCCCAACAAATTTCTTGAAGAAATAAACCTTTACTTAAAGGGGTCATGAAATGGAGAACCAAATGTTCTTGATACTTACATTTATAAGAGGTTACTCTACAGAACTCTGCAGTTTAAAATATTATTTATTTCTACCCTTATGAAATGCACAGATTTGAAATCAGGAGAATTGTGACTTCACGTAATCAAGAAGATGCATTCTGAACAGCTCATGTCTGTCCATCAATCACAAAAGCGATATTGTTGTATAAAGATGTCACGCAAGATCATCAAACTCAGAGGTTTTTCTGTCAGTGGGTGTAAAGAAACTGCACCTCCAAAAACCTCTTTTCCTAAAGATCCAAGCATTAGAAATGCATGGCTGAAGTTTATTTTTAAATGATGTGCCTGAGCAACTGAAATATAAAGTTTTTGTTTGTTCTTCACATTTCACAATAGGCTGTTTTGTCCTTAGTGACAATACAGGTAAGTACATTTATTTTTAATTTTACAGAGTGTTTGTAATAAACGTCAAACCAGAATTTAACACTATGAAGACACACAGTGTATTATTGTTTGAGTGTTGTTAATACAATCAGTACATACCCACGCACATGCAATGTCTTTTGTAAAATAAGAATTAATAATAGTACTTTTAAACCAAAATACTGAAAATTAAGCAAGCAAAAGCAATTACCAGGCTGAGACAGTCTGGTGCAATCGTTGTGGTTGCGTTGCATTGTTCAGATTATTCTGCCTCGGGCTCAAATATATACGGCTCTATCACAGCGCTTGCCATCTCGAGTATCAAACCCCCCCACCCACAGAAAGTGAAAATAAGGGTGGAATAAGGGTGCAAAAAACATTGCAGACTTTAGGCCAGAAAGTTCTCGGATTTCATCAAAAATATATAAATTTGTGTTCTGAAGATTCATGAAGGTTTTATGGGTTTGTAATGACATGAGGGTAAGTAATTATTGACAGAATTTTCATTTTTGGGTGAACTATTCCTATAAGGTTAGCCGCAAAAATAACCTCGTCCACGCCTTCTCATCACTGATGTTTCACTGCATTTCTTTAATAAAGTAGCTTTTGGTAAAGGTGCTATATGTCATTTTTTGACTGTACTAAAAACAGCATAATATATCTGCAGATATTTAAGAAACATGCTAAGTTCACATACTTGTTTCTCTGATAAACAATGCTAACGCCAGTTATTCTACTTTGAAATGTGTGTTCCGTGTCAGAATGTCTGTTTTTGTTTTGACCTGTGTGATTCCGCCCACCGCCAATTCACCCAATAGTATTTTGACACCCTGGGTTGCCAGTTGGTGGAAAACCCAGTGTATAGGACCATTCACACAGAACGTGTCTTTAAAAAAAAAGCACAGTGCAGAATGCCTCCTCCGTCATGTTGCCATCAAATAAAATGCCAACTTGCTACTGTAAACAAAAACTTGCAACGCCCCTCCTGGGTGCTCTGATTTGTCCACTGTTTTGGAACTGACATTGATGAGTGGTGCTTTGTGTAAAAGTTTAAATTCTTTTAACTTGACACAGCATCGTAAAAATGTGCGAGATGCTGCTGTAGGATATCAGACCGAATCAGACAATCTAAGATTTGGTCAAAACATGGTTGAAACACGAGGAGCCGAATTCCACAGGGGCCCAAGACACAGGATGTTCGTAAATCAGATCCTTGCGCCACAAGCCTGAACCAACTAGCAGCTTTGAGTAGCTCACAGCATTTAAACAAAAGAACACTTATTGACAATTCCT